AAAAACATACTTACAGGCTGTGAGTCAGAGGCGCCAGACTGTCCTTGCAAAGTTGGAACTGCCCCACTTTATAGAACAGCCTTTGAGCACAGACCCTCTGCAGGTTCAGGAAAAAGTCCTCCATAAAATGCGTCACACAGCGTCACACACTGGGGGCTAGAGTGAGCGGCGGCTCTTTCTTTGCGTGAACATTTGGGCGGTGTTATGCAAATCTTCCCACACAGTGACATATACATGTGGGGGCGTGTTTAAACGAGGCGTTTTAGGAGGGCGTGGACAAGTCTTAACTTTTATAAAGAATATCTCTTTGGATTTGAGATTTTAGTCTTTGCAACTTTACAGATCTTCTTTATGCACCAAGAGCTTGTAACACTCCAAAGAGAAAGGAAAAAATGAAATCGCATCATATGACCCCTTTAAGACTGACAACAGTACTTACTAACTAGTGGTTGGATTCCACCTCAGATTAATAATAAAAAAAAAACTTTATATCTCAAAACCGTGATTTATTTTTCATAATGTGATTTTTTTTCTTCTTTTAAACAACATTTAATTAAAAAGAATAAATAATATAAGTCAATACATTTAATACTTTTTAATTTAATATTTTTAAAAGATTTCCTGCTGTATTTTTTCCTCTGAGGCTGAAACAGGCATCCATGCACAGGTGACTTTCAAACTGAGCTATTTATATGAGGAGTTTTTTGTATATTTTCTATATGAACAAATAATCCATGTCAAGCCCTTTTTCTGTTCTTGTGATAGCCATAACAATTTTAAAGAGTCACTTCGGTTATAAAATGCAGTTTATAACAGAACTGTGTATGAAAATAACCATATTTAGCACTCTAAAATAGGACTGACAACTGTATTTTGCTGCTGTGTGAATGCAACTTATGTCAAGTATCTGCCTTGTGTGTTACTTCAATCTCTTTTAGCTACACTTTTAGACTTGTTTGTTGTCTCTCTCTCTCTCTGTCTCTTTCTTCGCTCTCACTTCATCTACCTCATTGCCACGCTATCCTTTTACGGTATCACCTCCTCTCTTCCGCTGTCCACCTGTGCATTTGCATCTCTCTCATTGGTGATTGTTGGGTCACTTGAACTTCGGCTTATGTTCCTTATCTCACGCCCATCGGCGCGCTCTTATCAGCCTACGGCAGACAGGCGTCTTCAGAGCCATGGGTCAAGGTGGGCAGGTGTTCTTCCAATTTGACAGAGGAGAGAAACTACTGTTTGCAGTACAATTTATTGATAAGGCCTTCACGTACTGCAGCATATAGGCCAACCTGAGTTAAAAAAAAAAAAAAAAAAACGCTCAGGGCATGCCACAGTTATCTATACCTGACAATACCAACTGTCTCCAGACAGATTCACCAACGGCATGATGCAAACCAAGGAAACATCAAATCAAACACACGTCAGCAGAAGAGAGAAGGATCACGATTGGGAAAGCGAGAGAGAAAGACGGAAGGATGAAGAAATAATGCAAAATACCATGTTAGGTCTTAATCAAACAGATACGAATGAACCAAATAAATAAACGACTGCAAATGCTAAATAGCTAAACATACCATATAGAGCAAAATATGAATACTTGCTCTCTCGCTGTAGGTTGTTTTAAAAGGCAATAGAGAAAACTGCTCTGTGCTGATAAGCATTTACAGCCTCATGAGTCAGAGGGATAAAACTCAAGTGCAGTATTTACCTGAGCCTGTTCTTAACTACCTCCCACACATTTAATGATTCAGAGAGGGAGGACAATCATTTTTCTCTTTCTCTTAAAAAAGCACATGGGATGGCTACCCTACATTTAAATGCAAAAATAGTTTACTACTGGTTCAGTAGAAGCATTACATGGCTCTTTAGTAGTGTTCCCAATTCATTCATCAGGTAGTCTAGGAATTATTTAATACTTGATAATACTTTAATAATACTTAAAACTGAAGTGGCATATATACACTACCATTCGAAGCTTTGTCATCATATGAATAAAATACATGAATACTTTTATTTTAAATTGCAATATTTCACAATAGTACTGTATTTCCTGTATTTTCTGATTAAATAAATGCAGCCTTGGTGAGAATAACAAGCCTCTTTCAAAACCTTTAAAAAATCTTACCAACCTCAAACTATTTAATAGTAGTCTATCTAAAATTGCAACAAGTGGAAAAAACATGTAAAAAAAAAAACTCTTTAAATAGCCAATAGTTTTTAGTTTATGTCTCAGCCAACCATGATTCTCTACTTTTTACTTTTGGTCTAGAAGAGAAAGATTGCATAAATGCAAGATTGTTAACTGGGAATATTAAATCTCATTATACCACAATAACATGGTAAACAACCAACCAAAACAACCCACTCCTATTTAAAGTAAGAACAACTAATAAAATGTAATCCAGTATGTTCAAAATGTGTTTATCTCTCTGACAGAATATTATCCTGGATTCGATGGATTATTCTCTTGTATCCCTAAAAAAGACCTTGGAGGCACTCTGTTGTTTCTAGTAACTATGGAAACGCAATGAAGCCCCAAACTCCTGCACCACAATAGAAAAACCAAAATCAAATTTGGTCTATTGTCCAAGGAAAGGAATCAATAACGTGATGTTTTAACATGGTCAAATTATTTCTGCCCAGCCGTGTGGCTAACCTTGAAGCCCTTATCGTCTGTAGATTTTAAAAGAGTGAAAAATTTAGAGTTAAACACATGGATAACAGCACTCGCGGATCCAGCGTATAAAACTGCAAAATAAACATAGCATCTCTACTCCAGACACTCACTGCCTGAACCATGCTTAGCATGGGCGTTAATTATCCGTCTCCACTGTAAAAAGACAGTCTTGCCCTCTGCCACTTTGTGCCATTCAAAGGAAAAAAACAGTTGATCTACACTGAAATCTCACCCTCGTTTCCACAAAGAAGCCATATGACAGACTAGCGCATTACAAAAAAAAGCACCCATGTGATATATAATATTCCAACACAATCTGATCTACAGTTTTTTTATAGGTCACTAGACCAATTGACAGCTGTGGATTAGGAGAGGAGTGTAAGGATCCAAAGAACCCAACAATACAGGATACTGGAAGTAGTTTGGTTTTCATGGACTGTGATGTAGAACAAAGAGCTTTGTAAATGCAATGACTCATGGGTGTTACTTACAACGATGTGTGCTGGAGAAGGTGACCTGGCATCTTTAAGTGCTTGTCTACTCTGAAGACTTCCTGCTTGAACATCTAGCAGGGGCCATTTCATCTGTAGATACTGGATGGCAGAAAGATAAAAATGGAGAAAAACAAAAGAAAAACATGTTAACAATGCAGAAAACAAAGGGAAACACAACATAAGAGCTAAAATATCTGGGGGAAAAAATGTGTGACATAGAAAGTAAAAGTAAACAAAAAAGAAATCATGTCAAAACAATCCAAGATCGAATGATGCATGAGGTGGAACTTCTTGAAAACTGAAACTACTGGTGTTACGATTAATTTACACCTTATGCTTGTCATTCACAAAAACAGCACATTTTGAACCACACACTCAAATGCATTCAGGTGAATATGTTCCTTCTTCTTCCTGTATTAATCAGGCACAAATGTTTTATTGGCCTCTGGAATGCCAGGTGGACTTTAGCATTTTTACCAGTACACATAATAAGGGTGTGGCATTGAGTCACTGCAGCGACTGTCCCCATGAATGATTGACCCGGACTTTATCAGAGGTGTACACATGCAAACAGCCCTTTCATGAACCCTTACATCGCTCTTAAAGCCAACAGGTGAAAATAATCACCACAATCACCATGAAAATCTCCATGGTATTTTCAAACTCCTAATTTAAACTGTAAAATCAAATAATTTTTTGAGACCTCAATATATATGCAAACAGATTTTGAACATATTCTTTGCAAAAGGCATATGCCCAAAATATATTGCATTCATACGCATACCTGTAGGTAAAAGTCTGAGCTTCCTATCCAGCTGACTCAGTGAAAGGAAGTCTGCATATCATTCCATATTTCTTCTGCCTCTAATATCTCCCTGAACTCTGACATATAGTCTTGCTGATGGACACCGTCTCTGAATTCATATGTCTGATTTCACCCATGGACTGCAGGATCTGCTCGGCAGACCACCCGTTTACATGTACCCTGTGTGCCTGAGTGACCTCTCATTTAGAGATCACATGCTGGGGCCCGTTACAAACCTGCTGTTACTGTCCTAAAACCGGTTTGCCTAATGTCCTTAGTCCATTAGCCCACAGCAAGTGAACTTGACCCCTGAACTTTTAGCCTGTTTCCATAGAGGCTTAGAAACAACCGGCTGATTGTGAACATGTGACTTGGACTCAGGGTTCTATGGCTATCTGAGTCATGGGTGTCTCATCAGGAGAAGTGTGAGGGTCTGCACATTCCTAACACTTGAAGTGTGGCTGTTGTATTACACAGGTCAAGGGTTAACTGGATCCTGATTGCTGTTATTATGGGAAACCTGAACAGCAACATACACTTGAGGTAAAAAAAAAGTGACCATTGGAAACCGCTGCTCTGTTCAATGACAATAAATTCAAATAAGCATTCAAACCATCTATGCTACTACACTGGAGGGTTGAGTGGATTTGCATGTGGGCTTGGCTGATGAAAAAATATTTAAGGAAGCACCGTTTAAGTTGAATGGGAAAGAAAAAAGGAAAGAAACAAAGAAATGAAGGATGGAAGGAAGAAAGGACAGAAGGAAGGAAGAATGATGGACAGAAGTGAAAAAAAAGACAGAAAGAAATGTGGGGTAGACACAGCAGCTGGGGCTCATTTTCTCAACCATGGCGCAATTTTGGATGCAGTCTTGGGCCCATAACATGAAAAATGAATTTAGAGTACACTCTACATAAAAAATGGTCCTCTTTTTAGGACTAATGCATGCTGTGCTATACTTCATCAGATCCCCAAAGGAAACTTCTGACAAGTCAGTCAGCCTTGTAACTTGGTCTCCGATGCTGCCAGGACATCAACCACTGGGCTCCAAATCAACTGAAAAAACTTGGCCCAAGTGAGCCACAAATCAGAATCAAATTCATTCCCATGTCTGACCAGATCTGGCCAATCAGGGTCAACTTTTCAGCTCTTACTCTCTGTCCTCCTCTATCCAATCAAACAGCTTCACGCCTTCCCTTCTTACGGCCTATCGGTGAAGTTTGTTTGACCTTTCCAGGCTTCTGAGATTTTACTCTTCTTATGAGGACATTCTTTGCCAAAGACAGAAAAAGTGCCTGATTCTGCGGCTCGCCATTTAAGCAAGTACCCACGAAGTGAAACTGTAGTTTTAAGACCATGTTCATGTGTCTTCAAGAATAGCACTGAATCAGAGCTAATTAGAGGTGGATTCACAGCAGGGTGCAGTCCTGTGGTCCAGCCTGGAGGGACTTTTGGACTCCTACCTCAGCCTTGAATTGAACATACCCACCTCCAACTAGTCAAACAATTGCTGGTATACTGAAGCCTACTGTTGACAGGTGGACAGGAATGCCAAATTTTTAAGAACCTGTTGGGATCAGCTCAAGTTTAATGCAAAAATAACATGTAATATTCATAAATAAGTCTTAGTTTGAAATGTGTGTGCATGTAGGACTAGGTAATATCATGGTAGGTAGGACCAGGTAATGTCCTGTGCTCCAGCGCTATGCAGTTTAGTTTGGATGGGGTGAAAGGTGACACCTTGCCAGTGTTGGAGCTGAAAGCTTAGTGCACGTACTCTGACAGGCGTATCCACTTCAGACCTTTCCCTTGGTCTAATCCCTCCTGCAGGTTTTACAAGCATGCCAAGGAAAGCTGAGCCTAGACCAGTGCCAAAGTCCCAGCAGTGTTCCCTCACAGCCCAACCCCCTACACCACCCCTGGCCCGCTGACGGACGTACCACTTGGGTTTGAGAAGGCCATGACCTCTGACCTCCCCCTGCCTCTTCTCTGCCTACTAAAAACTCTCCAGCTAGGAGGCCCCCTTTCACGTAACTCAAGTGCTATTCTGATGTGACAAATTGCTCTGGAGCTCCGGAGAACTCAGTACCCTCCCCCTCAGCCTTCAGACGTACCCAGAGTGCTTACTCTGTCCTGGGGCCCCAACAGCAGGGGCTCCCCTTTGCCTCCCCCACCCTTTAGCAAACCCTCAAGTCTTGCCTCGCCTTCTCCTGCCTTGCCTCAGCGTAGCTACAATAGGAATGAATGACTCAATTGTCTCTGATGAAGTGAAAGACAAGGGAGCCCTCTAAATCCTCCCAAAGGGATGAACTCTCCCTCTGTCCCTCTATTGCCTGGAGACTTCCGGGAGAAACAGAGAGAGGGAGTCAGAAAGACAGAGAGAGAAAAAACAACAGAGACCAGAAGTTGCTTAATCAGGTTTTCTGACAAAATCTGAATTTTGCAATCTGACCTTTGTATAAACCCTTTACTTTTCATGGAAAAACATTCCAAACCAGAAATCCACTTTACAATGTTAGGCCTACAGCTAGTCATCTGGATTATGGAAGCATTTGCAACTGTAAGTAAACAAGAGCAAACACAACTGAATGTGATAACCAAATTTAAGCTATGTAAATTGTGCGTATGATTTGTTTTTGGATTAAGAGCAAAGGCTTTTCCACAATCAGACAAATCAGATGCCTACTTTGTCAGAGAGGCTCGAGATATATGTGGATCTATTTTCAGCCTTCCAGCATGGGATGAACCAATGCATCAGAAAGCATTCCAGCCACAATAACGATGTGCATAGGGAAACCTGAAAACAAAAGGGTGGAAGGGGGTCCAGCAAGCACTCGGTGAGCCAGTTTCCCACTAGAGATGCTCAATAAGGCCCAAAAGATCCCAGACCATCTGTGCACAGGGGGCAAGGCTATATGCAGCTACTAACACACATCACATGCATCCAAATATTAACCTAACCATCACCATGTCCACATATGATCTAAGGGTGTGAGAGAATGACCTCTCGCTGACTGCAAGAACAAAACAAGACATTATTTAGACTATGACACCTGACATTGATTGATCAGATGTGACCTGTTAGGTAGTGTGCAAGCTCTAACATGGTGCACAGTGCGGTGACCCAAGTTCGAGTGCTGATCAAGTAATCTCCTGGTCCCACCATCTTCTTGTTATTTCCTGTCTCTGTAAATAAAAACGGCAACACTAATTTAGAATCTAAAAAGAATGTTTAAGAGGCTTTCACAAGTGCTTGTTACTAGGTTCACATTGAGAACCACACAAGTTTGCATAAGATTTGTGATAAATACCACTCCCACTGAACAAGCAACAATAAAAAGCCCATTGTTTTGTTCACAGGTGCTGAGGAACAGGCAAGCATGGATACATACAGACAAACACTTAATACACTCACTCTCTCTCAAGAGGAGAATTTTTTTGGGGAAAGGACATAATAATGATCCAGATAGTCTCTTTGAAATTCACTGATCCAAAGAGAAGGGATGTGCCCATCTGTGAGACTCCCATCTCTAGAGAGGTAGAGAGAGCGAGAAAAAAGAGAGAAACCATGTGTTTGGGTGTGTGTGTGTGTGTGTGTGTGTCTGTGTCTGTGTCTGTCTGTCTTTGTATGTTTGCTTGAAACATTCAAATAGCCTTCATTTTGGATGGATGGAAGCATGCTGGAGGTGGGGGCTAGGAGTGGAGGTGGTGGAAGAGGAGGAGGAGTAGCTCAAGACTAGATGAAACTGAAAGTTAGTCTACACGAAGGCTCTTCACACTTGCTTAGTTCTTCTAATACACATTTTATGAGTAAATAAAGGAAAAAAAGAGAAAAGAACACCCCACCAGCTCAGATTGCCTGAGGCATTCTGCAACCAGGAAAATAAAGCTGGAATGCGGGCAGGCCTGGGGTTTGCGTGCCCCGGGGCGGGAGAGGGTCCGCGGGGCCCATATTTACTCCAAAGCTGGAACCGCTGGGGGGTTCTCAGCACTCTGACAGCACAGAGCCAGAGACCCCAGCCTGATCTCCTCTATCCCCTTGCTTCTCACCTTGGCCCTCTTCATAATAAACTCCCACTGACATTTTTCTTTCACACTGCCTCTAAAACCGATCCTCCAAACAGCTGACAAGGCAGGCATCTTTTGAAACTTATGCCTGAAACGTACTCTACAAAAGTAATTGAACATGGACGCTTAGAGATAAACAAGCTTGATTTCATGTATTGTTCCGAAATAGTGCAAAACTGCATGAATGCACATTGAATTTTCAGCACTGCCACAAGGGGTGCTATAA